CGAACCTCCCAAGTGCATCCATAACTCATTATAGTTCACCACTAAATTTTCTCTTATTCTTATTGGTTTAATTTGATCACGTGGTGCGATAGTGTTCATCCGTGAAGAGACACTATCAGCCCATAGTGCCCGTGCGCGGGATGATACCCAGCTGGATAGAGCCCTTCCGTGGAAAATACCTCGATGGATAGTACTCATTCGTGAAAAATTTGGAATGGTTTGACGGCCGCGAAGTTAGGCAGATCGGAAAAACAGTGACTTTTCAATTCTGACAGGTATAACGTATTATTTGGCCAACGTACGGTTGCGAACTATTGACATTTGTGACAGGCTGTATACATGAATAAATATTTGATTGATCTGCATTTAGTGGGTTTTGATTGTTTTTTAAATGGCGCGCGGAAGAAAATTTACTAGTGGTGAATAATAAAGACAATAGAGTGTTTATGTCTCGGAACTATTGGGCTCTGATACCAAAACTGTTAAAGAGACTTCCAGGGACTTGCAAGAGCGACACAGTACCACTGAGCCTCGATGCTAGGTTCATGCAACCTGTAGCAGCATCCGATACGAATGGGACCTTCTCCATCGAACAGATGTCATGAACTTGCGCAAAAGAACACGTTTCATCCGTTCCATCACTTGCTCCTTTCTGACAATAGCCCATCAAGGTTTTAACGTTATTCTCAGAAGGTCACGAGTTTGACTCCGGTACCAGCAATGCCAACTCCTTTGTAATGTAATGCCACTGGTTTAATTCCTCGATCTCTGGGCATCGTCTGCGCCCAACAGAATGTTTCACTTGCAGTATAGATTGAAGCGGGCGAACTTGGATAAGCTTCGAGTTTCCGAATTCGCTTTTCCCTCCTGATTTCGGAGCCATGTGATAATTATATAAAGTTTCATAAAACAAAATATGATCTTATTTTGACGATAAATAAAGGTGATACATACATGTAACATAAATCAACTTTGTTGTTTGGCGGTAAGAGAGGATCCGCACCAAGGGAGTAGCAGAGGCGCAGAGGCGCAGAAGCTGAATAAACCCCCTTCCCCTGATGCGGTCCGCGGGTAGGGGCGGGTGGGAGAAGGCAACGTCGGAACAGTACAAAGGCGAGTTAAAAATTGATATATCGGATAAAGGTCTTTCAAGCATAGTAAATCATTAATTAACCACCTGGCGCTCCGTATCATAATGACATTGCACAGAGTTCAATACCTCACACCTCCATGGCCATATTTACTGGACAGACCTATTAGACCAAGGAACGAAATAAGGTGCTTGTTCATCGCCAGGACGGTATTTGCATCATTGATACGAATGCAGCTTCTGTGACGCTCAAATACCTTTTCCGAATCAATTCGATAAAAGCTTACAACAGCCTTTAAAATACCAGCATGACGGCCATCGCGTAATTAAATTGACGATCGAGTTGAGTATCAAAGATCATATAAGAGATATGTGACATATGACCTTGATTGGATGGTCCATGCGGTAATTATTAACGAAATATAACACTCTGCTGGCGTATTCCAACTGATAGGTAAAAAAAAACGTACTGTTATTAACAAAGTGATAGATCAAGTTTATATCCTTATTTTACATCCAGATTTTAAGATATTTAGGGTGATCCGGTCTTTGTCAGCTGTCAGTAAAAGCCCACCAATGTCAGTTGTCAGTTAGATTTTCAGCGATTTGTCGGTTGTCAGTTAAAATTTTGGCCATCTGTCAGTTGTTAGTTAACCCCATCCAGATCCTCTGATGTCGGTCCATCGAATCAACTAATCAGTCCTTCGATCAGTCGATCACGCAGCTGGTCGCTCAGTCAGTCGGTTGGAAGATCGGCTGTTCTGTTGGGTGGTCAGTCAGTTAGTCAGTTGGTCAGCTGCATGTTGGTTGGTTGGTCAGTCCGAAAGCAGGTTGATCTGCCAATCGACCAGTCGGTCGGTGGTCGGTCAGGATGAATAGTTATTTGTCGGTCAATCTTTCAGCAACTCAGTCATTCAGTGCCAAATGCTGTAACGTGACTTTTATGAGACTGATTTTCGTGGGAAAACAATTTATATCCGACAAACGAGATTATCACTGAATTTTCTCTTCACCGGCGAATGAGATATGAATTTATAGAAGAATATTTAAGAGACAATTTATCCGAAAAAAGGAGTTCTAAACGATACCCAAAATTAATACACCAGCCGAGTGTATAACGGCTAGAGGGGAGAATTATTAATCAAATCTTCTTACTACCGTCTTAAAGTGTTAAATAAAGTTTTATCAAGTTTATCAAGTTTTATTAGAATTTTATTAAATATCTTTATAACCTATAACCTATCACCGTCCCAGAGGATGATAATTCAGGGGCACGAAAGAAGTGTAAGGGGTAACAAAGGGAAAAAACAGGGGAAAATAACAGTTGAGGATGAGTTTAAGTACGTCTGTCGTCACGGTCCATAATGGCCTTCTATTTCAGACAATTAGTTTGCTCTCTTTGCTTTTTCTGAGTTATTCGGGAAGGGCCAGGAAGTAATCATATCAGGCTCAAATCTTTTTAAAAGGGATTAAACTAGAGTAAGAAATTCATCCGTCATGTCTGTAATTCACCAGAGACGACTGAACACAGGTCAGTTATTCATTCTACAATTGAAGACATGAAGTTTGAAAGCCCGGCTCGCGATAAAGTTTTTCTTTCATAATATTTGCTCTATCGATGATGTCGATCGCACTCAAAGGTCTTAACAACGTAAACATGTGCGGAATGATGGGAGCTGTTTATTTTGATTTCAGCTCCCATTCACTTTGTATATAAGAGCAAATGTTTGAACCAGATGCGGTTTGATTCTGGATGAAACGTATAATACAATGCCACTAGAAACTGAATGTTAAAGGGTCATAAAATCAGCCGGCGATCCGAGACGACTACACTTTCGCGCTGAATTGAATGCCATACTTCTCTATTAAAACTAGAATACCTCTCTGTGCCCTAAGTTTTCAGTTCAAATGTGGCATGCTTCAGCCTAGATCTATAACTCGTAATTGCACTACTTCCTCAGGTCGACCTTGTTGGCGAAATAATGTAGACACTTTTCCATAGTTGAAACTGAGAATAAACGAAACCCGATTCTCTTGACCGAAGCAGCTACGAAAAAAGAGTAGAATCTGAAGAACACGTCGCTTTTTATCAGCTAGAAAACTTCATGCCGCAAGTTTTGCATGCATGAAATATTAGAACTCACTCCGCTGTCAACAGCTGAATAAACCCCTTTTGTTTATCATTATTCTTCGAAACGCGTAGCTCGTTTACTTTCCTCTTATGTTTGTTCTGGTCTATTAATAACAATTATTCCTTTGTTAGTTATAATGACTAGCCTGTAACCTAAATAGTGATGCTGCGGCACATTCTGTTGATAGTGAGTCAGACGTAACTTAGTGATTCATCTACCTAAGTGTTCCAAGACTTACAGTTAGAAAAATATCTCTAAAGTTATTCTCTGCATGAGAGAAATATTACTTAAACAGAGAAAATAGCGCGCGCGCACAAGAAAAATATTGCCTCTTGTAACACAATCTCATCCGGCTTTGCCAAACCCCAACAATATACAGATAGGGAAATGACATCTTAAAAACCCTTGTTCTCGATTGCATATAAAGGGAAGTCATTAAGAGATATCTTAATAAGAACTTAGGCGCTAGACCAAAGTAAGTCTATCTTGATTTTACTTTTTAAATATTTTTCGGTCTGTATCATTGGTTTATTTCTCTCTTTCAGTTCACTTTCAAATTGCTTTATTGTTGATTAGGCTAATGCTATATTTCTCAGGGATATTTCTTTAGATTAGTTTCTGCTGTATTTTCTTTTAGTTCGAACCACGCAAATTCAGCTACACAAATTCGGAATCTTCAGTCGCAATCTTCAGTCTCTACTTCGTCCTTTTTACCCGTGATTCACCCTTTACTTTCATTCGTAATTGTGATTACCTACCGCATTTAAACTGTGATTTCCATTGTGCATTCGAATTGTCTTCTCCGCTATACCAGTAACCTTTGGAGGTTACAATCATAATTTAACTCTACTGAGCAATAGGCTTGAATAATGGATCTAAAGGGCTAGCTAGTAAGCAGCCCATTGGTTGATTATCTCTCACTCTCTAACAGGAGAGTGTAATATTTGTGTATTGTTTCATCTCTAAAAATATACATGAAAAATTACTCAGTTCTGATTGATAAGATAAATGCAGTTTTCAGGTAATTCAGTGCAGAAGAGAGTTGATTCAGTGCAAAGAAAGTAACAAACCAGACATTGCGACCTTAAGATGTGACAATTTCATTTTGTCTTATATATTGCGGTTTTGATCGTACGCAGTTGTTTTGACCGAATGCACAATGTCACTTACAGGGTTTGTATAAATTATTTTTGCACGTGTTGCGCACGCTTTTCCTCTTCATAATTACGATAAGCTACCTCGTATTTTCTCAGGTAAATTATTAATACATAATCATATGATTTTTCTCGTGAAATTTCGAATAAATGAGCACTTGTAAATTTTTTCAAGGACCACAATTTTGTTAGTCTTTGAAAAAATTTACTCGTGCTTACTTATTCCAAATTGCACTCGAAATAAAATGGTTACCCAGAGCTTATGCATGTATATACCTGGGATCTTTACAGAAAAAGATACTAACTTCTACGTTCAGTGTTTCTTTTAACTTAACGGCGGAATCTAGGAAAATACCGTGGATTGATGTAAAATTTGATATTCTCGATGCAATTTACAACCGCAACTGTTTGCAAATTTGCAAAGGGTAGATATTTATTGCATGATAATTAGAGGTGACTCTTTTAGGATTTTTCCAATGAGTCGTAAAGCATGTGAGTCTTATGTGATTAGAAAAAATTAATGCCAGCATGCTCATTCAAAGGTAACGTAATGCTCTACTCCCCATATTCCACTATAGTTTATCACTTCAACATATAGATTTCTGATTCTAAAAATATATATACCTTTAGAATAGGAGGGAATTCCAGTGGAAGTGGTTCCTTCGGGGTCTCCGGACTCTTGTTTAGCTAATTAATGTAAAAAAATAAGAAAGAACTTGATTGATGACTAAAAAGTTCACTATAGTATAACAGCAGAAAATCAGCGGCCATCTTTGTAGGCTACAAAAGAGGTTCCGGATCCAAATAGAATCCAAATAAATCAGCTTCCTCGCTTTTATCGTGCCGAGTCATGAAATACCCCTTTAATTAACGGTAACTTCTTGTCAACATTTTCTTCAGGGTGTACCTCGACACATACTTAAGCCGTTTTTTTTCACTTATACTAAAAATTGACGAGAGACTGGCGGTAATAATGATCAGGGCAAAAAAATGATTTGGTATATGTGCACGATCCAATATACGTTAAAATTTCGAAATTGGACGTATATTTTTTTTCTTGGCCCATTACTCACTTAAATAGTCACATATCAGTATACTTACATTTGCTGTTAGCGTTGCCAAGATATTCAGGAATGTATTTCCCCATGAGGGTTGCTGCAATAATAACAAAAACAACCACTGCGATGACAACGACGAGGATCACAACTTTTCGCCTGGGTCTGGATGGAAACTTAGCAGGCACCAGATCGGTGGCGCCTGATGTTGAAGGTTTGTCTGCGATGCTTTCCGAGTCATGTTTTGGGGGCAGATCACTCAAAGGAATGATTTCCTTTTCTGATGACTCCATCAGTAAATTTTCAGAGATGGGCGGTTCGCTCAGCAACGTTGCAATGCAGGGTGTAGTATTTCTGATATGATCATGAAGCGGAGTGAAATAAGAGAGCCACCGCCATCATATGCATCAGCCAATCATCAGCTTTGCTTGGAAAAGACATTTGATCTTAAATATGTGGAAGTTAATTAAAGTAGTGACAGTCTCTCTCAAGGTAATAAAGTTGTTTACCTTGAAAACTTTCATCCTATTTTCCTTTAAACAAAAAGGAAATTGGCCTTTTAACTGTCCATTGCATTTGCTATGTACGCACCGCTTTTAAGCCTCAAGAGTCAGGTCACGTGACAAAAGCGTTTCAGCGGGAAAGGATACTCGGCTCATTTTCTCTCACCAGCAGCAACACCTCATAGCACGTACTGATTGTAAGTGCAAGTTGCTTTAAGAACGAAACAGAAATGTTAATTGTTTGAATGAGTCTCACCTCATTATCAAACAATTAAGGGAACATTAGGGGCCGACCATTGAACTTTTGAGGGGGGGCTGTGGGTGATTTCTGGTCATCAAGAAATTTTTTTTTGTAGCAATCTGCTGGGCAGGATATTCTTTCGGTTTTTTTTTTTTTTGCTACACTTTTTCTGTTACGTTTGGGCTGCATGCAATTTTTTTCTTCCAACAAGCGCTTGCAGGAAGTTTTTTTCAAAATCACCCACCCCCTCCCTTAAGAGTAAATGGTCAGCCCCTTAGCTAAGAGAGTGAATTTCTTTGGAGTGCTGTTATTGTTTACTTGATTTGAGACACTTATTAAAGAGTAGACGTCGAATTAAGTCATTTATCTAACTTAATACGGTATATCGAGCTAGCCATCCCTTTAAGAACATAGCTATTGATCTTTTTTATGTGATTCTACTTTTCGGGTAACTCTATCTGATTAAGAACCGTCTGGGAAAATCGGAAAAGTAATTCTTATGTAAACCGAGTCATTTTTTAGGGGATTGACCTCTAGACCGTTATTAGTTACCATACTGTCGAACAGATTTTGTTGAGCTTAGAAAACTCCCATTACTAGCTTAACCGCTTATTTTTGATCTGATTGAGCCCTTTCATTTTCTTTATGTAAACAGGCTAAACAAATTATGCCGATTGGTAATGAGTCTCCATGTCGAGTGTTTCCGGTCTCCCATGAGAGGAGCCTGAGGTCGAGAATGATATCGATGTATTATCATGAAAGAAAATTGTAACTCTAACTACCAAAACAGGTAGACTGTTTTTTTCGGAGACGCGAGAACAGTTGCCGCTGGAGAAAAACATATATTTGAATTAAGGCCACGTGATCTACCCTGACGCTTCAAACCTAAGCGCAACTGATCGCATTCCTTCACGTGCGCTTTTCCTTAAACAAACAAGGAAGGTCTGACATCTGCGGTAAAAGCGTAGACGACAGCCTAAGATGTGTGATAATCGTTTCTATTTTAGCTGAAAAGAAATATCATAGAACACTTATAGCTAGATCATGTTGTATTACTAAACGAAAGCGAATAAACGACGACAGATAGCACAAGCGCGGGCAAAGAAATGTGAAGGAATATATTACGTGCGGAAAAGCAGTCTACTTCTTTCGGTAATATACTTAGACAACTTCTGCTAAACGAGGAATTTAAGAGGGACAGAATCTAGACGCGGCCGTATAGGAGTCGGCTCTGTATAAGTTTACAATTTCAAAATAACGTCGGCCAATCAGAAAAAGGCAATCAGCGTGACGGTTTCTGGCTGGCACATGAGAATCTTGCGACGCATTGCAGACGCTCAACTGTGGAATTTTGATTTTCCTCGATGGCTAGCTCCGGTAGGTTTAGATGGATTTTCGATTGGAAGGTACGAGGAGAATAGTGCATGTTTTGACCGTAAGGCTGCGAAGTTTGAAAGCGGAGCGATTCGATTTTCGGGAGGAAAATCGCTCGGGCGCTTGAACCCTTTCAAAACAAGGTTTCCACCCTTGTCTTTCTTTAGCGCATTACATTAACGGCGAAATCAAACTTATTCAAAATCGCTTAAAAAAAAAACATTTTTGAGGCAAAAGGACGACTATGCACCGCAGGTAAAGTAATTCGACGTTTATTTATCAATGATTTATGTACATAGTCAGCAATATATCACTCTAGGTGAGGCAAACGGTAAATCTGGTACATTCACTATAAAACAACGGGCAAAAACAGATTGTAGGGGCCCCCAGTGGTTTGCCTTCTCAAGAGTCTAGACTCCTTCATTGTTATTATCATAATCATTTAGTAAATACCTCTACATCTGTAATATCAATCTTATCAGTTTTTTGTTTGGCTATGGCGGGGTTTTTTTGCCTTAAAAATTAGTAAGCAGTACATAGCAACAGATCTGATTTAGTAAATATTGACGCAACAGTTTGAAACATCGGAGTCGGGATAAAGAGATGTGCATGAAAAGGGGGGGAGGTGCTTTGCTTGGTTTAGCTCTAGATCTGCGCTTTCCTCAGGTCCTCTTGCATCGAATTTAAACTTCACGAATTTTTTCCTATTACAAGTGAATCTCATGTATATGAATGGCAGTGCATGAATTCTTCTTCTTAGCCATTCGCTTCGCATGCTGGCTTGTCTTTCAGTATATTTACCCTGACCCATCCCCTGTCTTCTATCATTATTCATACGCAGTTGTGGAGTCGTCGGGAAGCAATATCAGGGGGAGGGAAGCATCCTCTTTTTTTCTCCCCATTTTCGCTTTGTCTTGGGCCAACAGGCACACTCTTTGATTTCTGCCGATTACCTCCCTTCGGGAAGTTATGTGTGTAGAAGAGAAATTTCTAACTGATCAATCATTTATCTCGATACATTTTTTACCCTATCGTTCATTTAACATGCTGTATTTGACTATTCTACCTAGCTCTATGAGCTGCCCCTTATTTCATCATAAGACTCAACTTCACCGGAAAGCGTGAATAAATTGGCGGACTTGAAAACGGATAGGACTTGCAACCCTCCTACTTAGGTTGGTAGCTAAAAAATTGTCCCCTGGTTTCCCTTCCGAGAGCTGGGGTGTGTCGGGAAGAGCTTAGCCCGAGTAGAACTTATGGGACTTATGAAGAAACATACAACTTTGTTCCATCTTCCATCTAAG